TTTCACTAAATAAAATGTGTGCCTTTATTGCTTATCAACTATAGGAAAAAACAGTTTACAAAAGTATATCCCAATAAAACAACTGCCCTAGTTTATCAAGTCTTATAAGTAGGGTTGCTTTAATAATGTCCGAGCCCCCAAGGTCTGGAATTGGAGGTGGTTCAAGCACCTACACTGAACATCTTCAAGAGCAAATTGGATGCTTATCTTGCTGAGATCCTATGACCCCAGCTGACCTCTTGTCCTTTTGGGTGCTGGGCTGGATTCGATGATCTTCCAAGGTCCCTTCCAGCCCTAATGTCTATGAAATCTATGCAATAATTTAGAGCCTGGTTTTGCAACAGCATCAGTGCAGATTTATTCCTATATCTGTTTAGAGCAGCAGTGGGCAATTATTTTGGCTGGAGGGCTGCTTAATGAGTTTTGGTGAGCTGTCCAGGGCTGCAAGGGTAGCTCCCCTGCTTGACAGGTGGCCCGCCTCCTGGTTGCCATCTTGGGACTGGAAGCTCCACCTTGACCTTTGCCCCAGAAGTCCCTCCCCTTGCCCTGGAAGTACTCCTTTTGGGAGGGAGGGGGGCCATCTTGAAAGTGGAAGAAAACAAATCATATACTAAAAAAATCAAACATTTACTATAACTTATTTTATTTTATTTTAAAAAATATTTTTGCCCAGATGTATGTGTTTGCATAGTCTATTTAGAGGTGATTGCACAAAAGCTCAAATGAGTTTTACTCTTGTATATTGTGTGTTTGTACTCTTGTATATGGTGTGGGGGGACAGTGGGGAGGTCCTCAGGGTCCTGGGAGTGTGCGAGTCCCTGGCTCCACAGCATGCAGCTCCCTGTGCTCCCACCCCAGTCCCTGGCATGGGGCCAGCCCCACCAGCCCCATAACATGCAGTTCCCTGAGCTCCTACCTGAGTCCCTGGTTGCATGTGGTGGCAGTGTGCAGGGCCAGCCCTACCTGGCCCCACAGTGTGCAGCTCTGGGCCCCATAGCACATGGCTCCCCTGACCCCTTTTCCCCCAGTGGGAGTCTCTGGCTCCCAGCCTGGTAGGACCTTACCTAAATTCCCACTCTTGCAGGCAGGGAGGCTGGAAACAGCCTCGGGGTCATCAGACAAAAGCCTCGGCCAGGCAGAGGCTTCTTGTCTCCAGTGCTTCCTGGCTTGGGGCTGGGGTGGGTAAGGCCGGGTGGGGGGGATGGGAGGGGGCGTGGTTGCTTAGCAACTAGAGCTGCACCTCCTGCATGGAGGCCCGGCTTGCAGAGGGGCAGCCCAGGGCCAGGGTTTACAGACGGCTTATGGAGGGGCCCCGTGGGCTGGATGGAATTGCCTGGCAGGCCTGATCCAGCCAGCAGGTGATATTTTGCCTGCCCCTAGTGCAGAGCCTCACTGAATTCAACTGGGCTTCACACAGAGGTCCATCTAAGCACACCTGTTTACAAGATTGGGGTCATATGCTCTAACCACTTTGGAACAGTGACTGTGTCCCTCAGTTTCTGTAAAACGTCATGCAAAGACTATGGTGCTATATAAATATTATTATTCTACAAAACAAGTTAGGTTAGAGCAAAATCCACAATCTATAGATTTTCAGTATAGAAACACTGGTGTTAACACATATCACTTGACCTTGCTGAGTTTAACCGGATGACGCCATTCTTTAAATTGCTTAATAGCTTGGGCCTGGCCGATCCAAAAGACCACAAAAGGCATGGATAAAGATCAGAAACTCCTCTTCTATGGCAGATGCAATTCTTTTTGGTAGGGGAGACTGACTTGGTGATGGTGAAATGAATTTCCATGGGTCCTGAGGACCATCACAAAACTAGCCAACTTCTGCTCTAAGTGCAAGATACAATTCTCACCCTGCTGCTCCTGACATAAATGCAGAGCAGCATGCACATTTAAAAACAAATAAAAACAAAAAGAAAATACTACCAAACCCACACACTGTCTTGGGAACATTCAATTTTCCTTCTGGAGAGGGAGCAGGGTGAGAAACCACATGTGAGAGAAGTTAGTCACATCACCAAGTAATCTACTGGCAAGTCCCTACAGACTGTGTGGATGTGGGCAATACATGAACCCGCGCAGGACAGAACAGAATAGAAAAGAAGTGTTGTGGGAGTTCTCTTGTGCTTCTTGGTTAAAATGCAGTTAATGCCTGCCTCCCAGTGGTGTTGTGCAGTTCAGTTAATGTTTATGATGCATGTTAAGATATTCAGATAACCCTGGGGACCAGAGGAAGGAAGAGCAAGGCAGAGAAGGCAATGATTAGCAAGTGATCTGGGTACTTCAGTCATGGCATGTACAAAGGTCAGTCAGAAAGTAATGCCTCCTATTTCTTCCTCAGCTAAGTATTATTGACAAAAATATTGAACTTGCAAGGAAAATATGTATAGCATTGCAGAACACACAGCTGTTTTTAAATACACTTGTTTAAAAACACAATAATGAGCAAAGGCATGTGTCCCATCATTGTAAAAGTCCTTGTATAGCCACTTGTGCAACTACTGTTGCACAGCCTCCATCACTTTGCTGTCATCTTGAAAATGTTGCCCTCATAGTCCATCATTGCCCTCCAGGCTGTATGGAGGATGGGGCATCACAGTCCATCCAAATGATGCAGTTGCCTTTGTGGTATGCTAGCTGTTGTGTGGGCACACATTGTTCTGTAGTAGCAACACTTCACATGTTTTCATTGGGACAGGCTCTTTGCATTCAGTGTTTCTGTTTCGTCAGGGTCTTGATATAGGCCTCTGAGTCTGCTATGTACTTCTTAGGCAAAAAGTCAAGAAGACCTTACTCTGTGTTCATGGCTTACATAGGAGATAAAAATTAGGAGGCATAACTTGCTGACTGACCCCCATACAAGAGGGGTCAGTCTCCTTGTTCACCAGTGAAAAAAGGCTATTGATGGAAAAGGAAACTATGTTAAAAAATAGCTGTGTGTTCAGCAATTATATATATTTTCTATGCGAGTTTGTTATTTTTAAATAATATTTGCCTGAGGAAAAAATAGGATGCATTATTTTCCAACTGTGTATACCTAAGCTGTTCTGAGGCCTGCTGCTTTCTTTTTCTGCCAAGCATGTTTGCACCCTTCTAATTTCTCCTTCTGTGATGTCTTTGCAACTCTTCTTAAGAGCTGCTTCGCTCTGTTATCTTCCTACTGGAGCTATTTCTCTTCCACTCAATGCTGCTGTAGGGGCAACAAAAAAACAAGTTGTGTGTGTGTGTGTGTGTGTGTGTGTGCATGCGTGCATGTGTGTGTAACTGGAGTCTAAAACTAGATCAGTGTCCACCCCTGACTAGACCTCACCACACATCCTACTCCTCATCCACTGACTCTGTATTGGTGAGCAGTCCTGCCTATGGCCTTTTGGTGAGTGCAGAAGGGGTTGGAGCAGAAAAAAGAAGAAAGAGCCTGACAAGAAGGTGGGAAAGATGCTGCAGATGTCAAACCTGCTCTGTGTGCCACTGGGTAATAGGGAAGGAGGTGTGCAAGTAGGATCAGTCAACCCCGGCCAAAGAGAGATGAAGCCCTCTGGAATTACAGCCTTATTCTGAAAGCAAGATGAAGCCAGTTGTTTCTATACAGTAGCGAAGCAGCTAACTTTAAAAGTAGATGTTTATGTATGTATGTATGTATATTTTCTGTGCGGAATCTGTGGAGCAGCATATGATGTACAAACTAAAGGCTTCACCTAAAATCTACCTACATGTTGTCATGTCCCACAACATGCTGACTGCTTAAGAGTGCTTATGCAGTGTTGTTTTGTTCAGTGCATGGTATTATTTTCTTGTCATAGATGATGCCATATCTAGAAATTTGATCTCTGTTACCTAAATTAGTGGTTCCCAAACTGTGGTTTGTGGAGCACACGCTGGTGGTCAGCTGAGAGTTGACTAGTCACATGGTTCTAATTCTGCTCCCTGCTTCTATGGGCTAAATCACAATAAAGGAAGCTAAAAATAAAAATGTATTTTCCTAATATTAATTTTCCATATTGTAATTCTTGTAGTTGCTGCAGAAACAATCTGATTAAGAGTGAATAGGGAGGGTATGCATGTAATTGTAAACAGGAGGGCAGACAGCAATGAGATGCTTCTACTCTTAAGATTCAGTACAAAGAATCTTTGAGCACCATTTAGTCTAGAAAGTCCTCATCATAGCTCCACTGATGCTACACTAGATCTGGCTTTTTGTTTTTAAGATTTACTACTTTGAAAGAGAACTTCATTCATTGCATGCGTTGAGCTATGATATGTTTTTAAGTAACAAGGTCCTTATGGTATTCCATTCTAACACCCAGAAGACTTGGAATATGAACTGATGATGGGGTATGTGAAGTTGTGGTGGATGTAGGGAGAAAAGTAGATACACATAGTTAATCCTAAAGAAGAGCTCATTTGTGCTCCACACTAGGAACACATTTCAAAGATAGTTCTGTGTGAAAATGTGATCCAATGCTGGCTTCACTAAGTCTTGTGGTGAGGTGTTATATACCTATGAGAGTGCATTAAAACCTGCTTGGAGATGTTGCTTTAGTTTGTGTGCAACAGCCTACATTGTTTAAAGTTTTGCTTGCTTTATGTAGGTTATTATATTTCCCTCATTAATGTAGTATTCAAGTGCCTTCTAAGAGTGCATTAAATGATGTCTTTCACATTAGATATCCAAGTCTATTCTTAAGAATCTGAATAAGAGGTAATTGTAAAGACTGCAAGATATATTAGCTGCTATGTTACAGATAGAAATGCCCAACTTCTAAAAACACCCAAGTTTGAAAAATATTATCTCAGCTGAGTGGCTGGAAGAGAGAGGACCTAATTCATAACACAGAAGCTCCTGAAGATGGAAGATTATGAGATGAGAAGATCTGAGTTCAGAGTAGCTTGCAGTCTCTTCTTTAGAAAATCAAATCTCACTATTATTTCTAATATACCTAAGTTAAATGTACAAAATCAAATGTTCCTAATTATAACATTTATAGGTCTGGTTTAGTAACCGTCGAGCTAGATGGAGGAAACAGGCAGGGGCCAATCAACTGATGGCTTTCAACCACTTGATCCCAGGAGGCTTTCCACCCACTGCCATGCCAACCCTGCCAACATACCAGCTGTCTGAGCCCTCCTACCAACCCACCTCCATACCACAAGGTATGGTAGATGAACATTTAAGTGGAATTATGAATGGTTTCCTATGTATGTTTATTTTATGCTTCAATTTAAAAAAAATGCAGTGGGTAAATTTAGTCTTCAGTCTAGCAAAGCTCTTGCAAATCTGCTTACATTAAGCATGTGAGTATTTTGATTTAATTTGCTGGATTGGATTTAGTTGCCAGTGAATAGTACCAGACAGACAGTACCAGCCTGTAGACTGATCTTCTCTACACACAGAGCAGGTACAGCACTCACAAGGGTTGTGCTAAGTATCCCACTGTTCCTCACTACTCTCACCATGAGGGTACACCAATGTGGGCCTGGAGGATGGACAAAGAAATTTGGCATTTTTTGTAAGTAATGGGCTGAAATCCAGTACATAATGGGCTGAAATCATGAACTCATTTCATACGTGAAATGAATAGCCACTAGATAGTGACACATTTCAGTTAATAGAAATGAGTCACAGTCTTATCAGAAGCCTTGTGAACATTGGTGATTTGGCAGGAAAAATGATATTTAGATCTAGACCACTCCTGATTTTTGATCTTTTAAAGGCAAAACCTGACTGACAAGATTTCATAAAATCAGTCTCCATTCTCTTCTTGCCCTTCCCTAAAGCTTGGCTCATTTGGGATAATGACTCAAAGTGGGGCAAATTTAAGACTTTTTAACCATGTTGTTGGTGATTTTCAGTAATATCACATCTAGACTCAAATCAGTGGGAGGTATTTTTTCCATCAAAATCTGACTAGGAAAATTTTGCAGTCCCCCACATTTTTCCCACTGCTAGTCACTATCAACCCGAGCTGAATTTTTACTTATGTCCTGGGGGAGAGAGGCTGTGTCCTGCACATTGTCAGCCTGCTGATCCAAAAAATATTTACTTCACACTTTCTGTTTTGCTTCATGAATTCTGGACAGTACATAACCATTAATAATCACATGAAAATTGCATCTTTCTATAATATGACTTTTACAACATAAATAATGACATTGATCTGGTGGAACTTTATATTGTTTTTCTTTAACTATCCATTTAAATGTTGAGTATCATCAAATGTTAACTTTTGGGTCCTCTAGTATCTACCTGCAAGTTCTAACTGAGACTTCTTAGTGATAAATTTTATATAATGAATTTCTCACTTTCCTCATGATTCTCTGACATAACAAGCTACATTTCTTTTTCTTCTAGCTGTGTCTGATCCAAGCAGTACAGTTCATAGACCTCAGCCTCTTCCTCCGAGCACTGTGCACCAAAGCAGCATCCCTTCAAATCCAGAAAACAGCTCTGCATATTGCCTACCCAGCACCAGGCATGGATTTTCCAGCTATACAGACAGCTTTGTGCCTCCATCCGGGCCCTCAAATCCCATGAACCCTGCCATTGGCAATGGCCTTTCACCTCAGGTCAGTCCTGTGTTTTCAGACAGAGGATTTGCTGTATGCCAGAACCAAAGAGTCTATTCCCTGAGGCCGTAGTATAATGAATTGCCAAATTTAAACCATAATGTATTCTTTATACAAGCCACATGATTTCAGTTTGCTAGTTTCCTTTTTTTTTTTTCCTACTGACTGCATCAAGTGTCATAGCTTATATTTAATTTCAAGCGATTTATAATGTAATCATGAAGACTTCATGTTTACCTTTCATTGTCAAGCATTTGTTGTGTGTGGTTATGTTCCTTGAGATCCACACATAGGTAAAGTTCAGGAACACTGATTTTGTCTGATACGTTGTCAGCTAATAAACTTTTTCTAGTCTAAGGTCCCTTTAGGAAAACAAAGAGGTTTTACCAAATGGCCTAGAAATCACAGAGAAGTAATACTGAGAGAGTTCCAGCTGATAAGCAGTACACATTGGGATGAGCTATAATCGAGTTATAAATACATAAATTAGGAGTATTGCTGCTCTTTGGAAATATAAAAATGCATGAATACTATAATTGTTTTTCTAATTTGCATGAGCTTTTCTTAGGAGATCATGTTAATAAATTGCCTTGATAATTGAGTGTCAAGAGGTTGGTTAGATTTCCTACATGTGGCATCTGTCTGTAGTTGATGTTATTGCTGAAATATAGAGTCACACTTTTATTTGTGTGAGCTTCACTCAGGTGTTTGGGAGTACAGTCTATGAAATTCTGAGAAAAGTCACAAAGGGGATGCAATCTATAATTACAATCAGAAATCTCTTCAGGGCTGAGAGTGAGAGTTTTAACAGCTTTATCTTCTTTCTACCCTTTTTTTGCTCTCACTGGTTTGAAAAACAGAGAGAAGCTCGGAATGACACAAATGAAAAGTGAAAAGACAATTATACTCAATTACACACTAATCACTGACTATCACCACTGCCTAAGCAGCGAGAGGGCATTCTAATAGGCAGAAAATGAGATTTTAATGGCACAAAGGGTGGCCAAAATAACGACTCACATATCTTTGCCTCCTTCGTTTTCTTCAACTTGTGGTTTGCATCTCTGGAGTACAGTTCCTGGTTCCTGCACAACGGTGATAACTCTGTGCAGCTGAAAAGTTCAAAGGCATCAGAGTTGAAAAGAATGAATAGCAAAGGCAATGAAATAAACATTTTTGCCTAAAGGCAAAAGTTCATAAACCCTTTTTTGTAACAGTAAATGTAATTAAGTTTCATAGATTCCTATAGCACAGAGCAGGATACAAAACTTTATGGCTTAAACCTCAGTAGAAAAATACCAACATAAAAACAAACGGATGTACTTCCAACAAGACTTTAATGAATTTTGGTTTGAACAATTCTGATTTCTAAATGCAATCACCACAAAAGGCATGACATTAATTTAATAGTTTTTTTTTTTAATTACCAGATTCACAGTGCACAAGGCTTCCATAATTTAGACACTAATATCTTTCTGGAGTTCAGATTTAATCCATCAAAAGCAGTTGCTAGTGTCACTTTCAGTGTATATCAGTTCTGTCTATAGATTTCCCTTTCTTCCCCTCCCCTACCCCCTTTCAAAAAGTATTGTTCCCTGTGATATAGAATTTAAATACAACAGTGAAAAAATGCTGTGACATTTAGGTTAAGTGGCATAGAAAGCAATGAAGAGGCAAGTCTTTAGTATTTTGTTGACCATGCTTTGATGTGATCAAAAGGAGATCCTAGAACTGATCAGACTGATACAATTAGTTTCTATGTTTTTTCAAACCAGCCCGAATGTGGGAGACAACATTGTCTTCATGCTGTGAACTTTGTGTCTTCCTTGGCTACCTTTTTTCCATCCTGATCCTTAGAAAGTCTAACTTTGCTCTGTGCTTTTTACTAGGGCTGTGCGAAGCTTCGAGAGCTGATTTGATTTGGAGGAGCTTTGGCCCGATTTGGCAGCTGCATCTCCAAATCCAAATCGAATCGGGAGACCCATTAATCTCTTCAAATCAAATCAGAAGCCTCTGAATCAATTCAGAGAGAATTGGAGATTTTGCCATAGACTGTAGAGGCAGGCACTAGGCAGTGCCAGCAGAAGCAGCTGGGGGAGCGGCCAGATGAGCCCCAGCTTGCTGGCAGCCCGGGGAGAAGCCGCAGCTCCCCCTGCTGCTCCCCCAGCAGGGCGAGGCAGGCAGTGTTGGCAGCTGTGGGATTGAACTGGGAGCTGGGGAATCAAGCTGGGAGCTGCAGGGAATGATTGGGGGCTGAGGGAACAAACAGGGGCTTCCATCCAGCTCCCTGATCATTTCCCCCCAGCTCCTGCGGATTCTCCCAGGGCTGCAGGCTCAAGCCACAGCTATTCTGGCTGCCCCTTCTCCAGGGTGAAGCAGGCAGTGCTGGCAGCCCCAGGAGAAACTGCAGAGGCTGGGGGAATGATTGGTAGCTGGGGGATCAAACTGGGAACTGGGGCATTGAACCATGAGCTGGGGTGAACGAACAGGGGCTTCCCCCCATTTCCCAATTCGATCCTTCAGCTCCCAGTTCAATTCCCCAGTTTCTGGTTTGATCCCCTAGCTCCCAATCATTCCCCCCAGCCCCTGCAGCTTCTCCCAGGGCTGCCAGCACTGCCTGCTTTGCCCCAGTGTGGGGGTGCAGCTGGGAGAGCAGCTGGATGAGTCACGGCTTCTCTCGGGGGTGCTGGCTCAAGCTGAGGCTTGTCCAGCTGCTCCTGCCAGCACTGCCTGCCTGTATGATGTATGGCTGAATAAGATTCGGTGCTTGATATCTTCTGGATTCGGATTCAGCTGAATCAACTTGGGACAGTGATTCGAATCACTGAATTGAATCACTGTCCCTCCAAATCACCGAATCTGAATCCAAAGCGAATACTTTCTGCTTCGCGCAGGCCTGCTTTTTACCTGGTGCACAGAAAGTTGGTCAATAAAAAGCATGTTGATGTTACATGTTCATCCCTGAACATACTCAAGTACATTTTAATTTGTTCAAAGCTTTTGGAGGCTTGTTGGCAGCAGTACAAAAGTTTGTGAACTGAAGTAGTGAACTTTATTGGCTGAAGAAGACCTTTGTACTACACAATAGAAACACATTTTGGCAGAGCTGGCCTTTGGGCTCTGTAAAACTAATGGCTTTGGGACTCTCAGATTTAGGGATCTAGAGATTAAGGAGAAGCTTAACCCTCATAATTTTTACAAGTAAATCTCTATCCCCTTTGCTGGAGAAGGTCACCTTGAAGACATTAATTGCTCTGAACCTCCAACTGAGGCTGAAAGGAGCAAGCAGCTGGGCACCACATCTACAACAGAATGCTTCTGGAGGGCAAGTCTTGTACCTTTTATGTATAAAATATGTCAGTTAAGTTTTGGGTATGTCCCAAAGAATCATCTTTCAACCGTCCCTATCATCTGTAATTCAAATCTGTGCTTTCCTGGATGGGGATTTAGTATGCCTGGGCACAGAGTGAGATGGGAACAAAATCGTTTTATAGTCCTTTTGATAAATGTTATAGCAAATTCTGCATTTAAGCTGTTGTTTAAAAAAAAAATGAGGGCAGGGAGAGAATGGGGGAATGGGATCAAAATATAAATGCTGTACTAGTGACTTGTGGCACTGAGGTGGGAAAAGGCTTTTTGATGAGAAAGAACTGCTTTTCTTTATGGGTTATGTTGACCCAAGTAAATCTGTGTTATGTGCATGATCCATTAAAGTTATGTTTTTATCCATGACTGTCTCTCTCTGGCAAATACTGTGCAGGAACTATGTGCCAAACATAAATTTAAATTACAGTTAATTTTTCAGGAGAAGAATAAAAAAAATCACCTTCTGAATGGCACCTTCTGAAGGTCCTCTGATAAATGGAATCTAGTACGTACAGTCTGGCATTAGGTTCACAGGTTATAATTCTTAGTGGATATAAATCACCATAACTCCACTAATGCCTATGTCCAGCAGGTGAGCAACTGACACACGTACCTAACATTTTATTTCAATACAAGATATTTAATTTTTAAATTTGCTTCTGAGCTGACTGACATTTTAAAGTTTCTGTTCTTAGACAAGCAGTAGTCAAACTAAGATCAGAAGGTAAAAGATGACAAAAAGCACTAGGATAATGATTTTTTGGTACTCTTCATTAATTACCCATCATACTAGAAAATTCTTTGTGTTTCACATTTCGATTGATTTTTTTGGAGCAGAAATGAATGTCCAATGCACTTGTCTTCTATTGCCAGCAGTTTGCTAGAAAATAAAATAAAGCTCCTCAACTCGAGTTTAAACAAAAAGAGAGTGGGAAGTCCTATGTGTCTTCCTACTACTCAGCACTAGAGGTCTGCAGATCTCATCAGGGTGATTAAGTATTCTTCTGTTCAGTCTGGTTTGCTCATTATCACCTGGCTGTGGTGAGAAATCCTCTGTGTTTATAGACTTACAAAGGGTTGATCTTCATAGGAACAAGGCAGTGATTAATGGTTGAAGGAACTGGTGTCAAGTATTGTCCCTGTTTATAGTTTACTATTGCAGACTCTCAGCCAGTGAACTGGAGCTTTTTACGTACAGTTTCAGAATTGAGATTATTAGTGTGTAATGTATGTAAATTGCATATTTTTGTGTCGTGTCTGCTGTGCATATTATACAGCTTCTTGAATTTCATGCATATGTTTTATTGGAATATTGTGGTTTCCTTTCAAATTGAATTTTAGTTGCTGAATGCATTTTCGCTGGACAAACATTTGTTAATTTTGAACACTTCGATGCTACTGCCTATAAATTTAATAGTATGTACAGAACTCAAGACTGTTTCTGATCTGGCACATCATTGTTAGATCATGGCATTAACAAGTATCTCAAATTTCTTAGATGTCAGGAAAGAAAATAGCTGTCAAAACATATCTATTTCAAATGAAGATGTATGATTTTATAATAAATCAGGTTGTTATAAATATAGGATTTCATTATTTTGAATTTTTTATTTACATTCAAGACCAGACCTTTT